TGTGACCTATAATTTAGCACAGCTGGACTTTCTGATCTCACTTTATGAGATATACGGAGCAATGAAGCAAGCGATGGTGACGAGGAAAAAGGTGAGCGAAGTGGTGTGCGGATAGAATCGGAGAGAGGGAGAAGAGAGAGAGAAGAAACAGTCAGAAAGGGGGAAGGGGAATATTGTAAACGCTACAGAGCGGTTTGTGAGCTTAGAAAGAGCACACAACACATTGATTGTCATCGCAATCCTAACGGACAATTACGCTCGCATATATAGGCATTTGATATATATTGCTATATGTCAATGCTATAATCAATGATAATAAATGCTATATATCTAACATGTTCAATATTTGGACTACTGTCCACCGTTGGACGGACGCCTAAACAAACATGACGTATGCGTGCTATCAAATTACTTGCTAGAGATATTTGTCCTAAATTGGACACCGATGCAGTCTTCATTACGCGTTTAAATATTTAAACGTATATGTTTATTTATTCAGTGTGCATTTTTTACATTTTATTTTATTTAATTGCATGCATATACTTAATTTAATTATTGTTATTTATTTATTTAATTATTTAATTCTTCATAAACATCATCTACACCCACGTGCTTACTAACAAGAATAAATTCAGCCGGATGGATTGCATTGTGTTGTAAATGAAAACAATATATAACTTCACCAATAATTATACGTATTTTAAAGACCCAATGTGACCCCTTAATCGAATCAACAAAACTTTAGAGAATTTTTTCCAACTATGAGGTATTAATTACTTGGCGAAATTTTTGTTACCAACAGTCCTTCATTCATTGTACAAGCAGCAGCAGCAGTTGCACCTTGCCCATTGACTACAGCAGCAGCAGTAGCAGCTGGCACACTAGCCATAGCAGCAGCAGCAGCAGCAACAGCAATAGCAGCGGCAGCAGCAGCAGCAGCAACAACAACAGCAGTAGTAGTCCTCGTTACAGTGGCAGCAGCAGCAGCAGTAGTGGCAGCAGCAGCAGCAGCAACAGCAGCAGTAGCAGCAGTAGCAGCAACAGCAGCAGCAGCAGCAGTAGCAGTAGCAGTAGCAGTAGCAGTAGCAGTAGCAGCAGTAGCAGTAGCAGTAGCAGTAGCAGTAGCAGTAGCAGCAGCAGTAGCAGTAGCAGTAGCAGTAGCAGTAGCAGTAGCAGCAGTAGCAGCAGAAGCTGCGAAACTAGAAATCAGCCACACAGAATGAGATTACAACCATTCCTGCCCACTTCCAGCTAAAGAGCTGATATTAAAAATATTCATATTTATATCTAGAATGAGAGATTAGAAAGAAAGGTGCACCAGTATTTATATGGAAGATATCATATCACAGGTTCCTTCCCATTTCCTGTACTAAATTCAATGACTGCTTTCTAGTACTTTGTGTGATCTTTAGTTATGAACATTTATACAGGGTGCAAAATTAACACGAGTCTGGAGTCAAATATTCCCTGATTTACTGCAGGGCCCTCGCTACCCACTCGCCAATTCGCCAATGGCGAACAAATGAGTAATCTGCGCGAATTGAAAGTCTTATTGGCGCGAAAAAAAGGTGAGCGAACGTCATTTTCCCGTATATAAACATGACCAGCAACACTCGATCCTATTGATCGTGAAACAGCAACCGTTTCTTTTTGCTGCCGCGGCAGCACTTGTCATGTGTCATTCCCGATTGCAGCTTTTTCGCTCGATTTCTCAGGAAAGGTTTTGGCTGTCGCTCCTCATACCGCAGCGCGGTGCCGCACCGCCCCTTACATATACAGGCAATAAGCGCAGCACCCACCCGCGACTGTAAACAATTCAGTTGCATTCGCCCCCCCCCCCCGTACTTCAATCAATGCCGCCCAGCCAGCAAGCACAGCCTTGCACGGACGTGGTACAGGGCGTGTCGCGGGCCTGCTTTTTTCGTTTTTTTTTTCTTATGCGTGAGAATGCGTAGGGCATGCAGGAGGCGCGGAGAATGGCGTCCAGATGCGCGAGTCTCCGGCGCAAATAATGTGCGGCAGCGTGCAGACTAGTAGGTCTGCTAACAGAGTAAGGATCTTAAATAAAGGCGTGAAATTCTTATTTTCGGGGTTGCAGTCAAATGCAGGTTTCGTAAGACATTCAAATGTTTTAAATTTTGGCTGGGGGGTCAGACCCGCCAGAACCGCCCCTCTACCTTCTCTCCCCCTGCGGTCTGTCCTGCAGACAATCTCACCGTTCGTCGCCCACACCCTGCACGCCTTCGTTGACATACCATCATGTGCGTTTTCCGCAAACTGGGGCATTACCACCGTTGTCTTATTTTCGCCTCAGAAGAAAAACCCTCGGGTTAAAAAGGCCTGTCTCCACACATGCACGGCACGGCCAGCGGCCAACGTTGCTTAGGCTAAAAGTCAAAATGGATTTTTTACTTACGCGTGTGCGTGCACGTGTGTGTGCTGCGCGCCGTGCGTGTAGGTGTTTTGTACCTGTGTACTGGTGTGTAGGTACTGCGTAAACGTTAGTAAAACTTTGATAATTACTGAACTGCGGGAATATAGAAAGCTTTAATGAGATGCTAATTTTTCTGGTCCAATAGCATCTCCGAAGTTACAAAAGTAGTAGAGTAGCGCCCTCCTGCACACTATATGCACTGTGCCTGCTGAACTCTTCTGTAAAACTATTAGCTCATTTACTCGTAAATAACATATACTGTGTCGTAAGGATAACAAAGAATACTAAAATGAACATCCTATAATAGTACTGCGCGCGGCAACGTGCGTGCGTACGTGCGCTGTGCGTGCGTATTGTGCGTCAGGTACTGTAAAATAGGTAGCATGTTTGGTGACGCCCTACCAACCACAACAGTAGAGAGGGTTTTACGAGACATTAATTTTGGTTAAACAGCTGATAGAAATGCAACCTGAAAAAGCAGAGAAGTGTTTGTTGAGACATTTCTACCCATCAAAATTTAAGCGCCCAGAATAAAGATATGTTCTGAACTTTTGAAAAGTCGCTAATGTCCTCAGCGTGTGCCCAAAAAGATAGGCGCCGACCTAAAATTAGCATTTGGTTCGCGGGGTACCCGGCCCGACTTTCACATTTCGGTAGATGATAAAATGGTGCCGACATGCGCGGTCACTTTTATGAGAGGTTTCAAGAAAAATACGAAACTCAAACAGGATACCGCCTGCGAATCATACATCATCCTCAGAATATCCGATCTTCTGTCGATTTATTTACCTAAGGAGAGTTCAAAATATTTATAAAAGCAGAACTTCGTTTGGCGCTGAAGTGAACAGTTCCTAACTATCGTTATCTAGAATCATACAAGTGAAACAGTCGGGCCCTGGCCTGGCCCGGGCCGGCCGGCTACTTCATAAACAGAGCCTGAAGGTCGCTTATGGCCGGCAGCGGCCGGCTTTGATAGTACGCGATCGGATCGCGTACTCATTATTAGTATCGCATGCTATCGTTGCTATCACCCCGGGCCGCAGAGCCGTTTTAACCCTTCGCCGTATTACTGCTTTGTTCAAAGGACGATTACTCCGAGCTCCAGTTTTTGGAGCGATGCCTAAACCACTTACAGTACTATCCAGTACACGACACGAATCACCAGTACACGTCTTACACGACACCATTAAAAGACGACTTGCCGATGTTATCACATTTTTTTTGAAAACAATTTGTCATAATCTTTGCAGCATCGCGTACTTGCAACTGCCAAGTCATTGCATCTCTGTGCTCCTGCATTTAATGCTGTATCACCTACCTATTTAACTTGTGCGCCTCCGTTCCCGACCTTGACCTGCAAAAAATAAATTTATATTCCTGCCTACCCATGTTTTTGCCAGGAAAAAAATAAAAAAATAAAAAAAATGTTATGCCTACGTACCGACCCTAATTTTCACAATCCATGTGACCCGAACAAGGTATTTTTTTGTTTGGCCTAGGAGAATTTTCCTGCCCAGGCAGTGAATTAAAAAAATTTTCAGAGCAAATTGAAATGTCTTTGCTCAGTTATCAGTCAGGAGTTCATGGTGTGAAATCATAGTGTTAGTGGTCTCAGTCATAGACAGGGTGCGCTGAATAATAGTTTGTTTGCATTAAATAAGTGTAGTTTTGTACTTCATGCATATAAAAGTGTGTGAAAAAAATAAAGAAAAGAAAAATTATTTATCGCCTTTTTGTGTTCATAAAATGTTAGGCTACAGATGTGGCTAACAGGAATCCAAGTTGGCTAATGAAAATTGATTCTGGCTAATTGTTTGGCTACAGGAAAAAAAATCCTAGCTAGGGCCCTGTACTGTCACTGTCAGACTCCCAGATTTGACATATGCAGGAGTCCGTGTGACTCCCTGAAAAGTCTGCTATACTAACTAGTTTGTTCTAGAGCACGGCCTCGCGGAATTACCGTATTTTTTCCAGCAAATGTCCAAAGAAAATTTGGCAGATGTGCAACCGTATGAATCTTCAAAGTAAGCACATGTTGTATGCGTTATTGCTAATATCTTTAATTTTGAACTTCATACTATGGACTCCCTCATTTTGATGGCAGGGAGTCCGTTGGACGATATCTACCCCTGTTTATACGATAGCAAATGAACGTATTCCAAAATCTGTGTATAAGCACATGTACATACATACATAATAAAAACAAATTGTACATCTATGGACAATAATTCACATAATACAACATACAACAACAGGCACACAGGGTAATAAATTAATTAATAAGTAACTCAATGTAGCTCCAACCAACATTTTTGTTGCAACAAGAACAGAGCGGGACCAGTAAATCTGGTTACGTAACTATAAATTCTGGTAGTGAGGCTGGCTATGCTGGCTAGCAGAAGAATAGGATCGCCATAATATGGTTAATGTCAAATGTACATTCATGAGCATTGTTCAACCGTACACTCAAAAAGTTCGACCTAGTATATAATGAGGGCAGCAAGCGGTCTCATAAGCTAACGAGCTCAAATACTGAAAGAAACCACAAACTTCTAACCCGACTAACCTTGTCAAGTTTGAGCGCATTTCGATAACACTTGATTGCCTCCTCGTATTTTTTTTCGGAGCGCTGCAACAACCCAAACACGTGCCAACACACATAGCTTTTCAAGTCATTTCGCAGGCCCCGCCGAACGTGGTCAAATGCCTCATCTTTTCTCCCGAGGCAGTTCAACGTAAGGCCTTTCATTGCTAGGGTCTCTGCAAGCAACAAAATTAAAGATTCAACATGTCTGTATATACTGCTTGTATATATACAGTGTACAACACAGATGTAGAAATGAAACATGTTAGGCAACAGACATGGGAAGTCCAGGTTAGATGACTTATTTAGTCCGCGTTAATGCATTTCCTTCAAGGTATTTTCCATTTATCAATAGCAGTAAAAGAATATCAAGCCGACACCTTACTGATGTGATACACTTTTCATAACCCTTACTTTTGTTTGAGATAAACTTAATATTACTCAAATTCATATTAAATTCTCTGGCAATTGATAAAAATGTGTTGATGAAATAGGTGTTCAAACACGTCCACTATTATTATGCAGCTGCACGTGAAAAAGAGAAGACTTCTTCAGATTAATGAAAAATAGATCTTTCATTGATAAACTATGCATACTAACCACCATGTTCAGCATACTTTGGGTTACATAAAATCTGCTTGGCAAATTTCAACCCATTTTTGTATTGCTTTTGTTCATAGCATTTCTGCAAAAGAAAGGAATGCATGTTTTGTTATGTACACCATAATTAGCATCCATCAGTCATTTCCCCCCATCTCCATTTTATTACATGCTAATATGGACTAATAATATGTAAATGATAAATTACTCGTCTCTGCAAGTAATCCTGTAAAATGCTGTAAAAATGCTGTACGTAACAGCTGTAAAACTAAAAGTTATGTTTCAGGGAAATGTGTGACACCAGATTAGCTTTGGTTCCTTTGCCACCTCTGTGTCCAATTCCATGAAGTGTAATTGCTAACATTCAAATACAACAATAATTTAAAGGAACAAGTGCCGCAGAGCGACAGCGCTCACCTGACGGCAGGTGTTCTGATGCTAAACTCACTGGCAAACGAATGAAGAGCACCCTCCCATCACCGCGTTCGCGCTCAGAGCATATATCTAGGATACTACTAACAGGGCGTCAAGTGACAAGTGACGCTAAAAAAATAGGAAAATAGGAATTTCAGATGTGAAAAAATAGGAGGAAAATAAGAATTTTGGTGAGAAAATATATGTTAAATAGGAATATTTGTTGCATTGGATGGCCTCCCAACACACCTACAGCCATCCCGATCCGCCACAAATGGTTTTATTAAAATATACATATTTGGAGTTACATCACATGCGAACAATATTTTGAGGTTTTAATGAGAAATGCATGTTAAAATTGATAAGCAGTTTATACATGCATAAGCACCCATACATGTAGACTACTCCAAAATGTGACCCGCTCCAGCATAATACGGACTAAGTCGCAAGACATTGTTTTGAGTAATGAGCACGCAAACATGTCAATGCTGAAAATGGCCTACCTGGACAAAAATGAGATTTTTACAAAAACAAGTTCCTAAGTGCATATTTAATCAGGATATATAGGTTCAGATATCTCTAGATTATTTGACCCACAATGAAATTAGTATTTTAGCAAGGACATGATTGAAAAAATAACAGTGAATGACAGAAAATGTTGTGGTAGCACTTGAGAATGGAATTGGAATGCAATTCAGAGTGGTGAAGGCCGGCGCCAAGGCTGCTGAATGAGATCAGGCATGCTAACATTGCTTAGTTCAAGTGGGCATGGAATTCAAGACCGGCCTGCTGACGGTGCGCCACAACTGGGCAGGCCGCACCTGATTGAAACCCCTGTGAGAACACGATGGATAATAAATATTTGTTCCCTAAGGTATGTGTTATTACCAACATTGTGCAAAGCTTTGAAAAGCATCAGACTGCATTTAATGGTATTGTTGGCCATATCGTACTTTTGATTGAGCAATCATTGCAAAAGAGTGTGACATCTTGGAAGGCTTTATCCAGGATGAGATTGGATAATTTAATTTTGCAGCTAACAATTTAAATTAGGCAAAACACGGAGGGGAGCGATGCAATGTGAGGACCGTACGTCAATTTTTTTATAAAGAAGTGGTGGCAATTTTGGTGCATTCTAGAACCTTGAATGTCTGGACACAGTTATAGAGACTCTTGGAGAGAGTCACCTTTTCAAGATGTAACAAAGGAACAAACGAACTATGAATAGGAAATCCAGGGGGCTGAAAATAGGGCTGAAATAGTATTGTTATAAATGTCTAGAGCATAATGAATTATTTGTTGCTGTGTCCACCGTCGCTTAAGCAATATGTTTACTCAGGGACATAAGCTGCGGCACTTGCTGCGACGCGAGATTTGAAAGTGAAGATAAACACCAATCGAGATGGAGACAATCATTGCACTAAGTCATAGCCAACACCAACATGCACAAGCAATCAGTAAACGCCGCCCCCAGGCCAAGGCATCGTCGTTACGTGATCGAAGCCATACCTCACAAGATGTCTGCCCCTCGTACAGGCAGGCCTGTGAACGGAGGAATTTCTCTTTTTGGTACACCAAAAACAGATAACCACTGTGATACTTTGCTAGTCAGTCTAACTAGCGTCTACATCTACAGTCTACAGCTCACAGGTGCTGTGTGAGGGTGAATAATAATTTAAATTGATACATTGAGCCCAGGGGAGGACCACCCCCACATTTTCTCCACGAATTAGACGTTCAAGCAAAATCGAGACACGACTGGACTGACGAGGATCCAAATCACGGCAAGATTTACCGCGAAGATCCGCGGAGAATCCGGTCATCCCTGGGTATTAATCTGCAGGAAAGCATGCGAATATTTCGGGAATTAAGTCAGATCGGTACCGAGGACTCTTCAACATTCTGTAGATCGGTCAATTCTTTAGATGAGATAGGACTCAATATGGAATATATATCGCATTTTAAAAGTAAGTAAAGACTATTCAGAATACGCACGAGTAACTGCAATATTGTAAAATTTCCTACTCAATTCCTGGTTTTGGCACTGGAGTGCGCGGGTCACAAAGTAGTATGACGTACAGTATACATGAGGCGTACAACATTTTTAAAATATATTGGTTATTGTGACAGAACGATGCGCGCATTTTTGAGCAAAAAAGGGGGGGTACCAGTGAAGAAAATAAAGAAGCACTTTTATATAAAGGTGCGAAGGCAGCTTATGTTCCGTGCTGAGCGCCACGTTGCCCACTTAAGGGGTGGGGGGGGTTAGCGGGCGCTCCCCAAAAGAGAATTTTTTTTAATTGGTGCATTCTGAGAGCATCTGAGCAGTAATTTTGATGTCTAGAATGCAAGATGGAATTCCAAATTTTTAAGCCAAAAATTATCTTTTATGTGTTTTCCCTTTTTTGGGGTAAAAAAAGGGGGGTCCGGACCCCCTGGACCCCCCCCCCTCTTGATACACATACCACATCCAACTAAGAAACAACTTTAGTGAAATAAAATCTGTGATGGTAAAGAGTATATATTACGTTCATTTAATGTACGGGGTGGGGGTCTGGGGGTCCTCCCCCAGGAAATTTTTGAAAATTGGGTCACCTGAAAAAATAAATTCCTGCACTCTGAGAAGAATACATACAATTCTGGATTCAGAATGAAAGTGTCAATGACATTGTAGCTCACCACAAAAAAGCACACAAATGAGTGCGTAAGAAGAAGTTGGTTTTAATTGAGCAACCATCGACGTACATTATAGAAACGATTGCCATAGACTGTATATTGCAATAATAATTTATAAACCAAAATGAATCACAATTTGTGACCGTATATGGCGCTATACCCGCTTTGTAGCGATGGCATTTGAAATAAATAAGTTATGCTGCGTTCCGACATGTTTTGTAAAACTTTACTCTAATATAGACGTTTTATCGGCAGGGTGGAGAGGAAATACCAATTTTTCATTAAAGATATTGTCAATAAAATCTTGTAAAACGAACCAGACGAGTGTGACACCACAGACTGTTTGTGTCTATATAATATGCTATATAATTGCCAAACCCTACCTAATTTGCATACCAAAAATGAGCAAAATCCGTTGAACCTGAACTGACTAATGGCAATTCCCATTTCTGCCAAAAAAATCCACCAAAGAACCACTGCTATACCGTAAGACTAACATATATTAGGACACTCGCAGTGTTTCCCCTGCATTGACACGAGCGAGGCGGGCCGCCTAAATTCTTAGCCGCCACACAGAAATTTGTCCAAAACACTGCCTCTCTGACGAAACTATTGACAACTTTAGAAAGAGATTCAAAAGTCTCATACAATGAGTTCAGAATAGCTTTGAATGCACCAAATTGCACCATTTTTCCAAAGAATTTGGACTGCGCTGCTCGTCCTGCTAGGAACATGAAACGCGCAAACACACCACAAAAATATTTTCCACCTCACAGACCCTTTGGGCCAGGGGAAACACTGACTCGTATATATCATTACTTTGACTAAAATATGCAGACTGAAATTTTTTTCTCTCCTTTTTTTTGATGGTTTAAGGACGGCACTTGTTTCTAGCGAGACTCAGTCCCAACACTTTGTTAATGGTAACTTGCATAAAGTCATAGATGTGACACCAGCCTTAGAACCACTTATAAGTTATATTACTCAATGAGATTCACTTTTGTTTGGTGGCACCTTTTACAATGCATTTGGCACAACATTGGTGAATGTGACTGCATTTTGAACATTCTAGGGTTGTAACGATTCATCGGTGAATCGCAATACAGTGACCCATGATACAATAATCAATACGCAGCATCCGTATCGCGATACAAACGATACAGATGTTAAACAGTCAATAATGCAAGCTAAACTATTTAATAAAGGGCATGTAATTCTTTTGAATTAAAATTTTATTTTATTTTATGAACTTTATCAGTATCATGTAAATATTCTCGGCTGTCGCAGGATTAAATGAATTTTTATGTATTTAGATTTTGATGGAAATTTTAGATGGTTCTTTGGGCCTTGCATCTACAAAGTTCTGCAAACTCAAACGACACACAGCAATTGGAACAGTACTTACACCAATAAATTGCCTCCTAGTCCTAAACATTTTAATAACAGTGTTTCCCCTGGGCAAAAAGGTCTGTGAGGTGGATTTTTGTGTGTGTGTATTTGTGCGTCCCTGGCGATTCTACACTATCTCCGGCCCCACCTACAGATCGATCGCAAAATGGTTTTATTAATTACCATATTTGCATGCACTCACATGCGAACCACATATTTTGAGGTTATAGTAGGATTGGGAGAAATGCCCATGTTATTGAAGCAGTTAATAACCATGCCAGAAAAGCAACCCCCATAAATGTAACCACTCCAAAAATGTGAACCCGTCCAGCATAATTCAGATTAAGAGGAGTCGCAAGCATTTTTTGAGGTAATGAGCAGGCAAACATGTAATGCTGAAAATGGCTACCTGGACAAAAATCGAGATTTTTTACAAAAAAAGGTTCCTAAGTGCATATTTCATCAGAATATACTAGGTTCAGTATC